TTTGCATATGATGCCTTTTTCATAATGGACACGATAGTATATGTTTCAGAAAAAATACTTAAAAGCTGTCCCAACATAATTAACATCAGGCACCCATAAAAATCATTACTCTGTATTGGTTCTAGTATATACAACTTGGGGTGGTTAAAGGGTTGATTAAAATGCAATCACTTTTAACATTATGTTGCAAGACTTTAAGTTCAGGTCTAAAATAGAACTATCCTACTCTTAGGTCAGAACTTTTTCCTTAATTAGATGTTCTTTGCTTAATCAAATAAATAAGTTTGATTACAGCTTAGTAAGTGTGTTATTTGATACTGTGGACTCTTTCATCAGATTTCAGTTGAATCAAGAAAGGTAACACCTGTGGGTTTGTTCACAAAAGCTGCTTTTGTTCAATGGACACCCGCAGGCCATGAGGCAATTACATTTGTTGCTTGTACCAAAGTAGGAGGCACTTAACTAGACCTCAGTAAGTATAGCTGAGAACTAGAGACTTTCTTCTTTTGTCCAGCTCTGAGATTAGGTTTTATCATAGCTCAGGAAGGAAGCCTCCAACCTGAAAAGGAAAAAGAGGAATGATTTAGGGTTCTTTTAACGTTTTAAAACGTTGATATCCCTGATGGTGATTGGAATACCTGAGACCTTAGGAAAGTTCCAATTTGAACCACTCCAAAAAAGATTCTACTTGGCACTCAGTGAAAACACATATTCATACTCTTCTTGCACATTGGCAGGGCTGGTTCACAAGGGAAAGAATGAAAGGTGAGCTAATCTAAGTCTTAAGAGTTTTATTCTTTAGGAAAGCACTTTTATTTCTCTTTTGGAGAAAATTAAAAAAAACATGAGAAATTTGATTTTTAATCCAACAAAGTTATTAAGCACTCATGTACAAAGTGCTGAAGAAAATACAAGGATACCTTGCTCTTAAGAGAAAACATTTATTGGACAGATATATTTTTTCAAGTTGGTATATCTTCATCTTTTGAAAGACTTTTACGACTAGTTGAGATTTTGTGCAAGGCATTCATGTATTAATCAATTGTAGTTAGATGAGAGGACTCCCAAGCCTCGTCCATCTGTAAAACTTTATGATGAAGCCTTTGTTGAAAGCCAGGATTTACTGGCAGTCTGGTGCAGTGGGAATAATAATAATAATAGCTAGCATTTATATAGTACCTACTATATGCCAGGCACTGGGCTAAGCATTTTAAAATTATTATCTTATTTGATTGTCACAGGAACTCTGAGAGGTAAGGGCTATTATGATTCCCATTTTATAGTTGAGGAGACTGAGGCAAACAAAGGATAAGCCCAAGGTCACACAGCTAATGTCTGAGGCTGGGTTTTAACTCAAGTCTTCCTGCCTTCAGGCCCAGTGCTTAACCGCCTCCGGGAAGGGCAGCTTAGTTTAGTTTTGTCTCTTTTGGAGTTGTCATAGATCCTTGCATTGCTGAGAAGAGCCAAGTCTGTCAGTGTCAGTCATCACACAGTGTGGCTGTTACTCTGTACAATGTTCTTCTGGTTCTTCACATTTCACTCAGCATTTGTATAAGTCTGCAGATTTTTCTGAAGTCCGCCTGTTCATCATTTCTTATAACACAATAGTATTCCACTACTTTCATATACCACAACTTGTTCAGACATTCCCCAATTGATGGGCATCCCCTCAATTTCCAATTCTTTGCCACCACAAAAAGAGCTGCTATAAATAATTTTGTACATGTGAGTCCTTTTCCTGTTTTTATCCTGTATCATTTGGGCATAGTTATAGCCCTTTGGGCATAGTTCCAAATTGCTCTCCAGAATGGTTGGATCAGTTCACAACTCCACCAGCAATACATTAGTGTTCCAATTTTTCCACATCTTTTCCAACATTAATAATTTTCCTGTTTTGTCATGTTAACCAATCTGATAGATGTGATGTGGTACCTTAGAGTTGTTTTGATGTGCATTTCTCTAATCAGTGGTGATTTAGAGCATTTTTCATATATGACTATAGATAGCTTTAATTTCTTCCTCTGAAAACTGCCTGTTCATATTCTTTGACCATTTTTCATTTGGAGAAACCTTTTTCTTTATATTTGAAATTCTATGCTTTGGCATAAGACCATTTTCCCATTAATGTAAACCTCTTGGAGATAGCTAATCATATTAGTGTAAAAGAGTTAAATGATGCTTGTCCTGCTGAAGGTGCATCAGATCTGGAATTCTGGGAGTGAGCATAATTAATGATGGAATATTTTTAATTAATGTATTTTTCCTGGGCTATTAAATAATGAAAGTATGGCCTAGATTTATTTATACATTATATATATCCATAAATGTAGCAGGCATGTTCAGAGCACTAGCTTCAGGCATTGGTGATTGTTTATTATCACCTTCAACCAACAATACTTAGTAAAGGCCTACTCTATGTGCCAGGCAGTGGGCTCACTTACTACCAGTAAAAACTTCATAGTGGTCAAACAGAATCATTACTCCAATATAAAGAATTACTAGTGGTCAAGGACTATAGGATACTTCTTGTAACTATCTTTTGCATCCTGGTTAACTGAACATGTAGTAAGTACTGAGTTTCTGTTGTTTCCCACCTTGTGATAGGTCTTATGGGAGAAGTAATTAAAGTTTAAGATACAATCCCTGTCCTCAAGGAACTTGCCTTATTGGGAAGACAAAAGGAAGACCAGACAGTTAAAAAACTGGGAAATGAGTGGCATTTACCAATGCCCCAGGATTTCAGAGCAATCAGGGTCTAGAGATTGGGGAGGCCTGAGACAGTGAAACTGAGGTAGACCCAAAGGGATCATTTCAGCCTTGGGAGTGGAAATAGGAAGACTTTGTTGAATCTTGTTTGTGCCTGAATTCTCTTAACATTGCTGTGAAATTATATTGGGTCTTTTGGCTTTTGTTAGTGTCTGTAACTTCTAAAATGGAATTTTTTAAAAACCTGTCACTTGTTTCTAAGATACAAAAATATGCACTACAAGGAATATGGTAGGAATCAATGCGCTAAAGATGTTTCATCTTTAAAAAGTTTTTTCCAATCCAGATGTTTTTCACAAACTAATCTCATTCTTGCCTACTTTGACTTGAATAGCTCGAGGTATTCATTTTCCTGCTTGAGCAGACTCAGTCTTGTGTTGCCCATGTGTGTATGAACCTACTCGTAGAAATGGTTCTAATAAGAAAACTGAAAAGCCATAGCATGATCTGGTTACTCTGCTAGTTATTTGATGTCTTTTTTAGGAAACCTATTTGCTCTTTTCTGATTATATTCACATAGCTGCTGAATGGAAAGATTCAACATGAATGTTTGCAACAATTTTTATATCTTTATGTGGTTACTGTGTATGAAGTGGCAAATTAAAATGATGCATATTGATCTTTGATGGAAAGTCATCTTTGGTATGAGCAGCTAGGTGGCACAGTACATAGAGTGCTAGGCCTGGAGGCAGGAAGACCTGAGTTCAAATTTGGCCTCAGACTCTTACTGGCTGTGTGACTCTGAACAAGTCACTTAACCCTATTTGCCTTAAGTTTCCTCATCTTTAAAATGGCTGGAGAAGGAAATGGCAAACCATTCCAATAGCTTTGCCAAGAAAACCCAAATGGGGTCACAAAGAGCCAGACACCACTGAAACAACTGAACAACATCTTTGGTATATTTTGGAATTTGGGAGGCCTGACGTGGTAATGTTTTTGTTCTATCCAGGTATATACTGTCTCTTCTCTTCCCCTGGTTAGACTGTCTAGACCAGTGCCAATGTAATGTCATAAGAAGGTGGTTAATACTTCATGGCCAAACCCCACCATAAGTAATAAAACCTCACTAATCCTGTTTGACTTCTCCCTGCTTATATTCCTAGGAATTAGCTGTCCCCTTGAAATACTGAGGAGCCAATCACCAACATTAGGGGTGACATACCTGTATCTTATTCATTAAGTAAAAGCCTAATCAGAGTACTGATTGCTCCCTGGTAACCTTTTTGTTTTGCTCATAAAACAAAATCCCTTCTGAGAAACTTAAATTTCACCTAGCCAGTTTGTTTCTTTGCTAAAGGCCGTAGTCAAGTACATACAGTAACGTGTAAGACCGTTGTTGTGGGTAGTGCTTCCCTTTTATAGAAGCCTAGTTAACAGTTCTTAATGCTGAAGTGCTTCACTTCTGCGTGACAGACATTTGTAGTAGTCGCTACATATTCCATGTGCCCAATTATTTTCTCTGCTGATTTGTTCACTGGCTGACTTTTTTTTCTTTTGTCATTGATTTCTTTGAGAAATAGGCCTACGGTATATAACAGTCAATGCAAAGGACATATAGGAAATAAAAGGTTTTTGTTATATAATGTAAGGCCACCATCATTAATTTCACAAATTTTATGTATTAAAGCTGTTTGTGGTCATGATTGCAATATAATGTGTTGTAGATCCTTCCTGAACACAGAAGGAACTGTGATCTTAATTAGAACTTTGACAAGCCCAGTCTTACAAAATGATGAGATTAATGGTAATTGATGTCACAATCAATTACCATTTAGTTCATCATGGACCTCTTAATAGGTCTATCCTTGGTACTGGCCCCAGGACGTTGATGAGTATGTGCCTGCCCTGTTCATGCTGTTACTTCGATAGGAGGGCACATTTTCAGTCAACATTTTAATGACCTCTTTTGAAATCTATTAAATTAATGACCCTGTCACATTGCTGAAACCTTTTATAACTTCATTCCAGGGTTTGGTGTAACAAACCAATGTTTTAGGGATGTGTGAGAGAAAATATATAAGGATTTATTTTTAACTGAACCCCAATCCATCTTATTTTATCAAAAACTGTAATTTTAACACTTAGTAAATTTAGGGGACTTATGGCTTAAGTTATATATATTGCATGTCTTTTACCAAAAATTGCTTTAGGATGATGTGTACAAACAGAAATGTTATTTACTTTTTAATATAATGGTTTTTTGGGGGGTGGGGTTACCTTGTCTTTAACCCTAGGTACCAAGAGGTCATGTTTGGCTGGAGGGTGATAATCTCCAGAATTCTACAGATTCTAGGTACTATGGGCCTATTCCATATGGACTAATCAGAGGACGCATTTGCTTAAAGGTATAATTTACTATTTAAAACACTGGTTATTTTTTGAGCTTGGAAAAAAAAAACTCACCAGAGTGGTCAATCTTTAAGCATTTTTTTCATTAAAGCTACTTGACATCAAAAGTAGTATCATGGCTTTGCAGGGAGCATGCCAACCTAGTGGCCAGAACTGGTGAGTGGACTTTCCTGTGGCCCATCCTAGGACAGCTAATGTGCAAAGAACACCCTGATTCCTCCCAACATCCCTGTAATTATTCATAAGAATTTTTTTGTAGTTAAACAAAAGTCACCTTAGTGTAGTGTAGCGAATAATGAAGTTGAATCTACCACCCTGAAGCAAGCTTTAATTTAAATCACAAAAGGACAGCATTTTAGCAAATTGCTTTTCCCTCCTACAGCTATTTATTTTAGCAATGCATTCTAAGCTCATGAAGATAATCTACTAAGACTTGAAGGGGTTATGATGTTAGTGGAGGGAGTATCAATATTCAGGAAATCATAGATCTTGTGAAATGTTCTTATCTTGTATATGTGTTGTCTACTTTTATAGAAAAGCAATTTTTATTCAAACAGGACTCCTTATGCCAGGTATGGTCCTGGCTGACTAAACATAAAAAGCCTGAAAAAGGAAGAACACAAGCATAGCTCTGCTAAGAGTTTTGGTCATTACTGAATATAGAACAAAAAAGCCATTATTCTTATTTATATCATGGGTGGGTGATGTGTGTGTGTGTGAGAAAAATAAACATGCTTACTTGGGGCAGGGCTGATCCCAAAAATAACTCTTAAATGGCAGAATATTATTCACAAGGAAAGGGATATTATAGCCAACTATCTAAGACCCAGATTACTTTAAGCCAATGATTTTCCATTATATCTCACTTGATGATGGAATCAAAGATAAAAGATATGTAAAGCTAATTTCACATGTAGCATAGAGCCTTAAAACATGGGTTTTAACTGGAATTTTTTCCTTGGATTTTTTTTAAAATACTTACGGTAAAATGGATTCAGGAAACCAAAATGAGTTATTTTCCTTAAAGATTATCAATATAACTTTTATTTTTTGATGGAAAAAATGAGGCAAAAACAGATTTGGTGGTAGGATACAAGAAAAATAGTGAACGAAAATATGTAATATATTTCTTTAACATCGTAGAAAAGTATACTGTTAACTATTTTGAACTGTATTCCATTTTTACAGATTTGGCCTCTGAATGATTTTGGACTTCTACGTGACAGTCCCAATGGCCACAGATTTTCTGATGAGTAATCAGCATTTAGCCAACCAAATCATTTCATTACAGCATCGTGTTCTTCGAGAAATATTTTTACTAAGTCACTGGAACCATGTATTTATAAATAAAATATTTGATACTGAATTTTATTTTCAAATAGGAGTGAAACAGAAGGGAGTCCATTCTATTACTGAAGTTTTACACACACAATGCACACTCTTGTTTCTCTTCCACCCCACCCCTCCCTGCCCCAAAAGTAAAAATTGTAGATTTAAAAGAAGAAAAGATTAACACTATCCTGGTATTTTGTATGACCTAAATAGCTAGATATTTGGATCACTGACTTAGTTCTTTTACTTTCAGTTGGACTTTGTGTTTTATAGACTCAGCCAAAGAAATTCTATTCTTCCTTCTCAATTATGCTTTGGTTTGGCTACACTAACCATGAGGGTGGTGACCATTTATTTTTAATTACAGGTCAAATCTGGCTACAACAGAAACTTCCATAATAAAGATTGCCAAGTTCCAGGTTTGGCCCATTTACTCAACAAAAAGAACAAAAGAATTTCAGCAATCCTTTGGGATTCTCCAAAATGAGATCTGACCTGTGTTACACACAGAACACTAAATAGAGAGAAATACAAAACTGTTTAATGGTTACGGTGACATCTATGAAATTTACAATTATAAAGTAAGAAATAGGAGAGGAAAATATTGGTTTCAAGATACCAATAACATTGTATTCCAAATTCAGAAATCGTCAGGAATGCTATGTTTTTATAATTTTTTTAAAAATCCCATTTAAAATGATTTATGGAAGCCATAAATAGTCATTACCTAAATTGCACGATTGGACATCTCTATACCATCCCGTTATAAAGCCGTGCTCTGTTCCTAACTACAGATGATTGTTTCCCCACCCTAAGGAAGAGAAAAAGCAAGCAACAGACCCTTTGCTTAACTTTATATATAGTTAGGATCTCGTTCTATTCTTATAACTAACCCAAATTGCCTACATTGCAGCTTATGCCGATTTCTTTTTTCCAGCATGGGAGGGATAGATATTATTAATAAAATACCTCATATTTATAAAGTGATTTGCAGTTTTAAAAGTTCTTTCACATACTTTGTCTCATTTAATCTTAAAAAAGCAAAACAAACCCACCACTTTTGTAGGTAAGGTAGATGGTATTGTCCATATGGGGACTGGAAGGGAATAAGCATCCACATTAGAAAGCTTACTGTGAGCCAAGCACTGTGCTAATGCTAAGCCCTTTACAAATAAGGAAACAGGCTCAAAGACAGTAACTAACTGGCCACAGATCTTGTAAAAGTGGACTATGGTCTTATGATTGAGTCTAGTGTCCCTTCTACCACACTATGCTGCTTCATTAATCAGATCTTCAAAATCAGAGACAACTGGGGTCAAGTTGTATTTACAAAATGTTTCTATGCAAAGAATATAGAGCTTCCCCTAGGAGGATGTCTGGTTCCACTTCATTAATCCCTATAATTGCCTTGTGAGTTAAGGAGAGGGAAGTTCTAGATCAGTGGTACAGGAGGATTCACGGAGCAAAGCCCCAACTATGAGACTCGCTGAGACCCACTGCTTCCCTTTCTTTCTGTGCTCTTGGAAGAAAACATTTCCCACTCATGGAGAAGAGACAACAAAATGAGGCACCAACACTCTAACTATGGGAATTCACCAAGTAACTAAATTCATGTTTTGTTAATACAGGCAGTGGGCTCTGCTTGCCAATTTTACATTTTCTTGGCAAAGTCTGAAAACAGTATTTGAGTTGACGTTTTTCAGCAGCATTTCCAATGGACAAAAGGACTCCCACTTCTTTTCTCAGCTCTACTTGAAATCGATGTTTTCTCCAACGGACAAAGCCTCTGCCTCCCCAACGTGACTGAACATAAGAGTTTTACAGTTCCATGTACTGAAAAATCTCAGCTGTGCTGAACAATTTCTATAATTAGCGAACATGTATCACAACAGATCAGGTTAACTTCTTGAGCTTCATCCTTGGAAACACAGTATTTTCCACCACATCGGCAACTGAGAGTAAAACACTGATCATCTATAAAAAAAAAAAGCCAAAAAAAAAAGGTGTTTTAAATGTTTACATAGGCTTTTAAACATAACATTAGTGTTGTCTACCATCACACATTAGTTATGTTAGGAGAAGAAAGAAGCCAAGAAAAGACAAGTTTCATTAAGACATTATCTGAAAAAAGTGGCCAGAATTCAGGCAAAAAGGCGAGAATCAATATGCCTGGAACCTGGGAATTTTTCTTTGTAAGAATCCTGATCTTCTATTTCAGTGTATGGTGTGATGTAAATGAGATAAACAGAGTCATCATTTTAAGGGACTGGCATAGAAAGCACTATTCTGAGCACTAGGGAAGATCAATCAGTCTGGATGCGGCCATACCTTCCAGGAAGGGCAATAAGACTGCAGTGCAGAGAGACAGCTGTAACAGGCAAATACAGAGTGTACAAAACAAAGTGTTCTGGCTATCTGTGTGAAATCTGTTAAGTAAAGCTGTGGCATTAAAAAGAAAAATGTTACATGGTGTTACAACTTGAACATCCACAAGCTATCTGTGACGGTTTAAAAGGCACGTAAGGAATGTTTGCAGAACTGAAAGGTAAAAATCACTGAAATTCCAAGTAAAGAGGTTAAAAAACATAACTGTCCAAATGGCATGATGGGCCAGGAACAAACAGACTAACACAAAATATATTAAAAAAGAAAAAGCCCCAGGGTGAACAAAGGAAAACAAAAGTAACAAACCCTAGTAAGAAGTAGGGAATGAAACATCGGGTGTAGTTATCCAAACTCGATGGCAACCCTGAAAATCTTCAAAGGGGTTAAGAAAATATAAATTGGCACAAAAATCCAGTAATAATTTACTTCAATTGTCAACAACAATTTTTTAAAAAGTTAAAATTGCTTTCACTTGCTATTTTATGCAGACAATGGAAATAAATACAATTACCACAGCAGGGGGAAAAAGTTATTGCAAGTGACATTTAATTAGAAGAGAGAAAGAATATCAAATCCTTAGAACAAATCAAGAAATATCATTGCACACTAAATTTGAAACAAGCCACTATTGCAAGAGCTTAATTAGAAACAAAATATTCCAGTACTGGAAAATAAGCTAGGATATTTTTTGAAATCAAAGCAAAATAATCAGTTGGATGTCAGTTTCCATTCTGACAACTACTGTGACTTTAAAAGAATCTAACAAAAGGGGGGGAAAGTCAGAATGCCTTCCAACCTTTATTCCATAACATGTCTTCAAGATATATTTGATCATCTACTGGTCCCACAGTTCTTAGATCATCTTCTGCAAAACAAGAGCCAGATGTGATGATGCAAGAAAGATATCAAACAAACAACCCCTGGCACCAGAATTCTAATCAGCAAATTTAAGTAATGCACCCCAATTTTACATGAGTAAAGACCTACTATCAAAACTTTAAGCTATCTTGTTTTCTGCTGAAAGGTAAGCCTCACCCCACTTGTAATAAACTAAAGTCTACCAAGACATCAAAAATCTATTTCAGCAGATGGCTGCTGCAGAACAGTCTTAGAATTTTAAAGTCACATGTATTCTGTGAAAATCAACTGATGTCCCCTCCAGCCCTGCCCCTTCCTCCTCCCAGGAATCACATAATTACATAGTATTTACTTTGTCAGTATTTTTTAAGCATACATGCTTCCCCCAACAGAACGTAAGCTCCTTGAGGTAGTAGTGGTGTCTTGTTTGTATCTCCTGGGCCTACTTGAGCTTGGCACACAGGATGTGCTTAATAAATATCTAATGACCGACTGACTTGTCACTTTCACATGTGTGCCTGGGTGTGATGTCTGAAGTGTCATGTCCTAACTAACAGCTAAGAAGAGTACCTCAGAGACTAGTGCTGCTCAAAGAGCCGAGTCACAGTTCAGCAGACTCACAGCACTGACTACCTGCTCCCCTGTCTCCAAAGGAATTCCACCTGAGTCTCAGCAGAGTGCAGGGAGCTCCAGCAGGGCGGATGGAGGACCAGAGGCGTGGTGGGGGTGCTGGGCTTTGCTTTAAAAGGCACATTGTTTTCAGCATGCTGGTAAAGCAACATTAAGAAGAAAGTACAATCCCTCCACGACATTTTCTTCAGCTGTGCCTCTGGCCTACCTCTTGTTCAGCTGCTCAGAATGTCTGCCTTTGTTCCATTTTGTGAGTGCTTGCAATTTAATTATATTTAATAAGTGCCTGTTCAAAACGTATTGGTGAATTACACAATTTTATAGTAGATGAAAGGATTATACAATATTTTGAACTCACTATGGCTTCTCATTAAGGTATGGCAAATATTCTAGCATTCTAGAACCTTGCCCAATGGCTTCCCCATCTCAGTAGGACTTAACTGCTGTTCCAAGTGTCTTTTTACCCTTGTATTATCACCAAGGCTTTTGTGATGCACATAAACAATTTGTAAACAGTTTTAAAAAAAATATTAACAATTTAATTTCCACATTCAACAGAATGCATGACTTGATTTGACACACTTCAGCTTGACAGTTCTAATTAAAATAGCAAACAAAAAAACCTGAAGGATTTCAAACATCAAATTGTAAAATATCTGAAAGAATCTCACTAAAGGAGACTAGGAGGTGGGGAGAGAATCAGATACCAGACTGGTATCCAGTAGTGGTGGTAGTTTGCTATGAATATTATAAGTGAAAAAATGAAACCCTTTATTTGAATTTAACTGCAGAAAAATAATTAGCACTTAACATTTAGGTTCTTTTCAAAATGCAATTTATTAATTAACAGTCAATTTGTTTATATTCCTGGCCATCTTCTATAATACTAAAGCATTCTTCTAATTTTACCCCAAATCCACACTATACATCCTCAGGGAATAATATACATCTGAAGCTGTTTTGATGAATTCAATTAAAGCAAAACAGACAAGTTAGAGCTAATGACAAGATCAATAAACACCTTGCTGGGCTAGCCCAGTTTTGAACACCTGTAATATATTAATCACACATCTTTATGAGACAATTAACCCATTCATATCTCTATTCTGATCATTTTTTTTTTAAAAAGTTAAATAAGAGGTAGATACAACTAACCTAGTCCTCATCCTATTGCTACCCACTACCTCCAGAGGAAAGCTACTATTATTCTCAGTTATGTAACACTCTGTACCCTTGCTATACTGTTTTTCTACCTACTCACAAAAGTGCTTTAACATTTATTATTTTCCTCTCTTTCATTTTTTTGCTCACAGCAAAAAGTTTTTAAAGCTAACTCTAGTTTTCAACTCAAACATAAACTGAGGCCTCTATGATAACAATTGAATAAGCTAATAAAAGTAGTTCATCATTCTTTTCAACGATCTGTGACTACACCCCAATGTTACGAAGCACATGTATAATTTGTTTATATCTGAACATTTAGCATCTGTGGCCACATGGCTCAATCATGTGTCAGCTGGGGAATGCTGGTTCAGAAAGCTCACTGAGACTAAGAGTTTCATCTTTAAATAAGGTGAGAGAAGAGATGCTGGGAGAATGAACCAAGGGTCCGTGGTTATCGCAGGGAAAGACTGGCTCCCTAGAGGACAGCATTAAATGGGTGGAGTGGGAACACAGAAACAGAAGATGAAGCTAATGAGACAACAGAAGATCATCTGTTGGAACAGGAGTGCCAGCAACTTCCCCTAATAAACACATCAATAGGTTTTTCCATAGTGATCAACCAGGTCCATTACTAGAGTTGTAATTAGAAGACCTGATTCTCATCCCACCATAGCTCCCCACCTCCCCTCACCCCACACTCTTCCAACAACAATGCTAATTAGCTTTGATAACCATCTAGTCATCAGGTATGGCATTTGTGAAACCGAAGATGCTGGTTGTCTACTGAAGCATTCAATAAGAATCCATATTGAAGGTGGGACATTAATGGTATATAATTTTCAATTTCAAATAGAAATGATAAAGCTAATGTATCTCAAAGCCTCCAGTTAAATTATCTTTCAAATATGATTTTTCAAAAACCAACTAATCAATCACTGTCCAGGCTGTGATTCAGATAAATGGATGAATTCAAGATTTCCGTTCTGGAATCTTAACTGCTAAATACAGCAAGAGGACAAACTCACCTATTTAGAAGGAACGCGATTCTTGTAGTGTGGGGTCATATTTTTGCTCACTCTAATATTCAAAAGGACACATTGTGGATTAAGGTTAGCTGGAGATTTAGCACATGAAACTTGCTTCCATTTTGATAGCTATGTATTATAGCGTAAGAAAGAATCCTAAAGAAGATAATGATAAAAATCAAAGAATTTATGTGGTTACTTGAAAAAGAATCTTTCAGTCTTTCCAAGTACAGGCCCTCCTGACCTTGTGTTCTATTGGATTTGTCTGACAACAAGGGGTGAAAGAATTCAGCGGCTCCATTGTCTCAATGGTGGGATCTAAGAAAACACTGGCAGGGCTCATCAGAGAGGTTTATGAGCCTGCAATTCAAAGAGATTAAAAGGAAAAATCTACAGAGATTCTTTCAGGCTGAAGAATAACATTAAATAACTATTAGCAGCTTGCTTCAGTAAAGCTTACTAGAGCCCTCGCTGGGTCATTCACAACTTTTTGAAAGAGGAAGGGTTTTTCAGCTCCATTTAGGATACAATAAATATTTCTTATTTCTTAGATGAAACAAAATGTAATACTAGTCTCCCCCCGCCAATGACTGTAAAATTTCTAAAACAAATCTTTGTTTGATGTCTAAGTAATAACCCTACCGAATCCTTTTAAACTTTCTAACTATAATTAAAGTTAATTTTTTTAAAAAGCAGAGAAGGGATGCTTAAAGTTCAAACATTATTGGGGGAGAGCTGAAAAGCCTCAATAAACCTAACATAAACAAAGAGATCAAGTCCATCGGAAGCCCTGCCATTATTCATGCAGGGAGGTGATTCAATACTTAAAATATACAATTAGGTTATTGGTATATACACAATTTTCTAATTTAGCAACTGGTCTATTGAACACATTTTTATTTGAGTTGGAATTGTACATTTTTTTAAGTACTTAAAATGTATTTCAAATAAGTTACTTATATGTATGTTAAGAAGGTGAATTTCCTTGAAAAACAACTGTCATCTTCCTGTAACTTTATTTTAAATACACTTGAGATTTGTCATTCTTACAATTCATTAAACTACACATAATTAAATTTCTCACTAAAAGGTCTGAAGAAAATGGTTACTTTCTTTGTCCTTGACGAGTTTATGTTAGAAGAAAAGCCTTTTTCTCCCTTTAGAAAGAACTTCATAGTGAGGCAACATTTAACTTGAAACCTGTTCATTAAATCATAAAAGCACTATAATCCTCAGCCAGCTGAATGTAAAGAGTCACAGCTACAAGGTTTTCCACAATCTAAGAAAAATTATAAACAACTTGTAGCTTAATTATAGACTTGGGGAAGAAATGCAGGGTTTTGGATTTTTTTTTTAAGAGTATGAATTGAATACTGGTGAAAAAGTACTATATTAAGCAGCAAGAATTGGGATCTTTTTCTGTTCAGCTACAGCATAGGAAGAGCACCCAGAAAAAGGAGGACCCAGCCTGATCCACAGAAATGTTCATTCCTGGCTGTGAGTAAGAAGGTGGTTTAGTTCCCACAGCCTGCATTTGCTGAACATGCTGACAAGGACCAATTCTTATCTCCTGATTGCCAGGGAGTCCTACTCCACCAGGAAATGAGCTAAGGATCAATCCATTTCTCGTGTTTCACCTAAGTAAGCAGCCCAATGCAGCAAGGAAACAACTTCTGGTCACTTCCAATTGAGTCTGGATTTGTAAAGTAATATGAAGCTGAAAGTATTCAGCTGTTATCAATGCCACTAAATGTATTCACCACAATCAAAGCGACAGACTTCATTAATAACTAAGCCTTCGATGGAAAGCCAACTCAAGAGCCTAAGATTCAATGAATACAACTCTTCAGCTGTGATTTTTCAAAACCACATTATAGCCCATCCTTAATCACCAAATGAGTAATATACACAAAGTGTTAATGAGTTCAAGAGGGAATAACACACAGACATACACACACCCATCCTGTCCCTGTGTATTCCAGCAGTCTTGTGTGACTTCGAAGAACCCCAATAGAGCGTTTCACTGATGAGACCCCCAAGTTCCAGTTTTGCCTCTGACACTTAGCAGCATCTGAGTGATATTAGAAAAATGACCAACTTTCTGAGCTTCAGTTTCCTTGTGTGTAAAACAAGAAAGTAACAACCCCTACTCTTCAGGGTTACTGTGAAGCTCAAATGATAAATCTCA